GATGTCTAGGTCACAGCAAAGACATGCCAAAGTTAAGCCTTGTTGGCTTAAGGAAGGTTTTTATGCGTTGAATTGGTTTATGTTGGGTTAGGTTAGGTTAGGTTGGGTTAGGTTAGGTTAAGCTGGGCCACGTTACGTTGCGTTGTGTGGTTATAGTTGTGTCGATTTAGTTTTTGTTATGAATAAATTAATTTGATGTTACGTATTTATCTATGCTATTTCAAGTTTGCGACGATATCAACCTTATTTTTTCCTGTATTATGACATTTAAAATTTCAAGGTCATTTTGTTTCGAAATATTAACACTTATTTGCGCGTAACTGTGGGTATCTGACGCACAATATCCACGTAACGTTGAGGTGGCGGACAGGTTAATGTCATGTAACGATACCTGCAATATTAGTCCGTCGGTTTGCAGAATAGACGCATTTTGTTTTTGAAGGTCATTTCTAGATCATAATTTCAAACGCATGTTTCTGTAGATCTATAGGAATTTGATTCAACAAACTTAAGTCAATTTGAGGTCTCGGGCAGGTTAGCGTCATATCTAGTTTACGACAATATCAGTCAGACGGTTTGCCGTATAGATGAATTTTAAATTTTCAAGGTCATTTGAAAGTCATTTTTTCAAACTCATTTTTCTGCCGAACTATAGGTGACTGAGCGACTATACTTATATCACTTCGAGGTCACGGACAGGTCAGCGTTTAGTAAGTGTCCTGACAGGATCACTCCGGTGGTTTGCCGAATATCAGACTTTAAAATTTTGACGGTCATTCGCAAGTCATTTTTTCTACCCATATATCTGCCGATCTACAGGAATCTGTGTGGCCATACTCATGTCAGTGTGAGGTCACTGAGAGGTCTACATCATGTCAAGGTGAAGGCAGTATCAAGCAGAGAGTTTATGGAATATATGAGATCAATATTTTCGAGTTAATTTCAAAGCCTTTTTTTCAAACCCATATATCTGCCGAATGGTTTGAATCTGTGAGATCATACTTATTTCCATTTGAGGCCACCGTAAGGTCTGCGTCATTTCAAAGTCATGACCATATCAGTCAGATGGTTTGCCGTATATATGAATTTAAATTTCTCAAGGTTTTTTGAAATTTTATTTTTTAAATCGCAATTTTCTGCTGAACTGTAAATGAGTGAGTGGCCATACTCATCTCACTTCGGGATCACGGACAGGTCAGGGTTATGTCAAAGACACGACAGAATCATTCTGGTGGTTGTCCGAATATAAGACTTTAAAATTTGCAAGACGATTGGGAAGTCGTTTATTCAAACGCATATATCTGCCGATATGCTGGAATCTGTGTGGCCATACTCATGTCAGTTTGAGTACACTAACTGGTCAACATCATGTCAAGGCCACAGCAATATCAGCCTGAGGATTTTTGAAATAAATCTGATTGAAATATTCGGGGTATTATAAAAGCCATTTTTTCAAACCCATATATCTGCAGAATGTTAGCAATCTGTATGACCATACTCATGTCAGATTGAAGTCAGGGTCAGGTCAGCATCTTATCAAAGTCACGACAGTATCAGTAGAATGGTTTGCCGTATATGTGAATTTAAATTTTCAAGGTCATTCGGAAGTCATTTCTTCAAACCCATATATCTACCAAATTGCAAGATACTGTGTGGCCATATCCATGTGAGTGTTTGGTCACGTGCAGGTGAGCGACATGTCAAAGTAACGACAATATTGTTCCTGTTGTTTTGCATATAGGGGCCTCAGAAGTTTTCAAGTAATTTACAAAGAAATATTTCAAATACATACCTACGCCGATCCTGAGGAATGTGAGTGACCACCTCATAAGAGGTTGAACTCACGGAGAGATATCCTTGATGTCTAGGTCACGGCAATGGCATCCCAAAGGTAAGCTTAGTTGGCTTAAGGAAGATTTTGATAAATTAATTTATACAATATTTTTATTTTCCGTCTATACACAAACTTAAAATAATGTTGTTTAAAATTATCTAAAATTAAAACATTCTCAGTAGATACTGCATCTTGTTACATTTTTTGTTGACTTATTTTAAGTTAGGTTAGGTTATTTTTGATAACATTATTTTTCTTAATGTGTGGTTAGGTTTTTGTTGTTTTATATTTTGTTACTCTATTTTATGTGAGTTTATGTTACATATTTCTCAATACCATGGCATTTTTACGACAATATTCACCTTAGGTTTTTCTCAATGGCATTTAATATTTTCAATGTCATTTTATTTGGAATTATTCTCACACCTATTACTTTTGACGTGTGGGTATGTGAGTGACTATACCCACGTATCGTTGAGGTCGCAGACAGGTTAATTTCATGTAACAATCAGGACAATATCAGTCTTGTGCTTTTCCGAATAAAAACCTTTGAAATTCTCAAGGTCATTTGAAAGTCATTTTTTCAAACGCATATATCTGTCGTTCTGTAGGGATCTGAGTCGCGACACTCATATCAGGTTTCGGTCACGGATAAGTCTGCGTCATGTCAAATTTACGACAATATCGGTAAGATGCTTTGTCGAATAGATGCCTTTGAAATTGTCAAGGTTATTTGAAAGTCATTTTTTGAAACGTATATTTCAGCCGGACTGTAGGAGACTGAGTGTACATTCTCATCTTACTTTTAGGTCACGGGCAGCTCAGCGTCATGTCAGTGTTGCGACAAAATCTGATTGATGGCTTTTAAGATTTTCATTCTTACAATTAATTTTTTCAAACGCTTATTTCTGCCGATCTGTAGGAATCTTAGTGACCATACTCTAGTAAGTTAGAGGTCACGCAGGTGTCAGCCTCAGGTCAACGTCACGACAGAATTAGTCCTATAATTTGCTGAATATAGGGTTTAAAGTTGTAAGGTCATTTGAAAGTAATTTTTGAAGCATATTTCTTTCGATCTGTAGGAATCTGTGTGACCATACTCATGTCACGAGGTTATTAGCCCAATTGTTTTCGGAACAGACGCCTTAGACTTTTACGAAATCATTTCAATATCATTTTTATCGTGGTTTTATTTTTTTAGACTCTGATGTGAAAAATAGACATATTTTTTAGGTGCATTTATATTTGGAGGAGACAAATGTTAGCTTGTATTTATGTGACGCCCCTATAAAACAGCATGTTTTGTTGTACCCTCTCATGCAGCTGAAAAACCGTTGACCTCTTGCTACATTTATTATATTTGCGAATGGAGACAGGTTCATTTTAAAATTAATGCCTTTTTTCAAACATACCCGGTATGTGTCGGAACAAATAGGCCCTACTCCGTTACGTTTTTATATCTCTTACACTGTTAACCTGTAATGAGGCTAATTAGAGATAATTCGTATTGCATGTGAATCTTTTAAATATTTATGATTCATAATTGTTATACATATATAGGTCTTAGTATAGAAATTTGGTGTCTTCATGTTTGTCAAGATAGCGTAGCCTCCATTAGTAACGTGATTGCAGGTATGTCTTTGATATTAACCAATATTTTCGTCAGGTAAGAGTCGAACAGATTGATACAATTAAGGCATTACAGTGTGGATCATTCTCGCTTATTTGAAATGAAGATGAACATTCAGTTCCCCTCATATAAATGCAGCCAGAACCGCGCTTTAGCAAGCTCGTTTCCTGAATTTTGGTACTGGTATTCTGGAGAAAATTTTGTCTTAATACCAAGGTACGGTTTTACAAGTATTCAAAGTATCCCATATCTATAAAACTAGAATATTACAGACGAAGTAGGTGATCGAAGGTCTCAATCGAGCAGTGAGCGCTGTATTTGCATGCTCTATGTGACTTACTCAGCGTACGACAAAAAATTTTATTATGGAAAAGTCCACTGCCCATTCAAATTGCAATGTTGCTGTGCTAAAATTCTTGGAATCTTACCTGTTACAATATACAGCTTATTCTGGGTAATGCTTCTATTTGCAAATCAACGCTCCTCCCAGTAGCAGTACTGTAACTGCCCGGATTGTATTTTCGCCATTTACACGGGTGAACTCGAGCAATAACCCACCTTCTTCCCTGAGTCGATGTTGATTGGTTTTTCCGAGAAGTTTTTGGTGTATATTGTTTCTTTGCAGTCAGTGGAAACAAAATGTGCTGGCACCGTTTTGGATTTGGTTGTAATGCTATAAAGTATATTTCTATCGAAAAAATCTTGATGAATGCCGTCTAGCGGGGTAGCTGTTTACCAGGAGATTCCCTGTGAAATTACGAGGACAATTACATAGTGAAATACTGGTCCAAGCTTTCGTGGGTTCATTGCAATATTGTCGGTATATGCAGGACTCCATACCGCTGTTTGGCTTCATTTTATATATAATTGTGTATTTGGTAGCTAACTTAAATACCAGCAACAGATGTAAATATAATACACTGAGGAGTCTGGATCATGAATATATAGGCACTGCCTAGTGGATGACATGAAAACATCAGTGTTACCACTAGCAGTAAATGGAATTCATAAGGCTTACAGTATTGAACTACATTAAAGGGATTTTAATAACTGCCAGTGTAATCCAGGGCTTGAGCGCTGTGTTCGGATTATTGTACTGAACTTCTAAGTACTAGATTCAACTGGATGCACTGCACTAAAATCAGTCTCAAAAGTAGATCACGTGTCCACTTCATTGCAACACGCGGTCATCAAACGTGTTCAAAAACCGCAACACATACAGAGTATGACCATGCATCCTCAGGTCTGTAAATTGTCTAAAAACAGTTACGTCTGTTGCTGATTCCTAGCCCAGATAGATACTAAATACTTACAACTTGCTATTTCTAGTTTAAATATACCATTATCGTCAATAAAATATAATGATGTATAGCACATCAGAACCCTGGTGATGGGGACAGAGTTGGTTCCCGAAACGTCGGTTTACTACGGTAACCAGTTAACGCGGCTGATTGCCCGAGAAGATTTTATTGATTTGACGGTACTTGTTTGGTTGTTTCCACTGTGGTGATTGCGTCCTTCCTCACTGTCTTGCAGATATCCAGGAATTCTACGAGCTGACACTTCTGGATGAAACCAAGTCCATCCAACAAAAAACTGCCGAGACGATTCGAATAGCAAATAAGTGGGAGGCGAGCGACGGGCCCATCACCCCCACATATGGCAACAATGACGTGAGTCACATTTTTTTATTAACCTGCAAGGGGCATTACACTCAGCTGTAAGGAGCAGGTGTGTTTTAAGTTTGTAAACATTGAATAATATGCAAAGTTATCTCAAATCTTTCCCAAAGTATAACATTTTGGATACGCCAACGGCGTACAGAATTTTTGTGTACATTTGCTTAAAAAGTGTGTTGCTTAAATTACGAAATGTGCACAGAAATGCCACTTAGGGGTATGGTGTTATCTTATGAATATAATTGTACCAGATTATTTCATCTTTAAAATCTTGAATTAACCTTCAATTTCTAAAAGTCCCGTTTAACACAGTGGTAAGTGTGGATACTAGAATTTCGGAAGCAGTTAAGTTCTACGCAGTTTGATAGAGAGTCGAATAACATCCTAGTGACTTAAGATAATTGTTTCATAGAGTGCGGATTAACAACATAAAGACCACGCGAAATCTTTTTGTAGTTTCAGGTTTCATGTAAGTAATGAGCTATTTGAGGGAGGTAGGTGGAATTTTTATTTAGTTGGACCATAAACAAGTTCTCTATTAATATATATAATATGTGGGCATATAAATAATTATGAACATGGGAAATTTCTCAATTTTGGATTATTTTTAACAATTTTAAAGAAAGGGGACTTTGCTAGTGGAAACGTTGCGCAGAAATTTGTTAAGAACAGGCCATATTGTTCCTTGTGGATTTTATTTTTAATAACATCTTTGTAAACGTCGTAACTCTGCATTGGAGCATGGCCTAAGCTTCCTATCACCGTCATAGATGAGACCATGTGTTTTCTTGGCCGTGGCCTTGCAATTCCAAGAAGCGTTATGAATTCTGTCACTTTTCATCCTAATTAGTTGCCTGTTCTATGCGTTACATTTCAGTGAGCTGTACATAGTTATTTTCCCTTTCCGAGAATAGTGATGAATTTAACATAATCCCTTCCGTATAATTTTATTCATCTGTGACACTTAATACCAGGGCATTGGTTTTTCATTATGTATCCTATCAAAATCGCAGACGAGACGAGTTCATGTAACATCGATCTAAAATAGTAGCATCTGATCGAAATTGATATAATTTATATATTCGGAAACAGTACCATGCTTAGAAGACAGCCATCTTCGAACTCAACACCGTGAGAACCTTAATTCGTACTAGTATGCTTCTGTGTTTGGTGAGTGTACTGCCCTTTGACCGCATAATAATCAATATGTTTTGTGTTTTAATGCACTTGAGTCTGATATATAATGAAATCCAAATGAACTGTAACAGGATTTAATAAAGCGTGGCGGGATGTTCATATTAATAAATCGCATATCTTTGGTAAAAATGTGTGTCGTATTTTGATCCGAGCTCGTTACCGTGAGATTTTAGTTTTAATTCTCCACCAGATGAATATTAAAATCAAATTATGTATTTTCTCTGTTATTACAATTTTCATGCATACGAGCCCAACTTAGTGGGTACCTTGCTCGTACCTTGGCAGTGGATAGGATACCGGTTCTCCTCATAATACAAAATCAAACCGTGGATATTGAAAGCTCTTCTCATGAAATTCACCTTTATGTCATTGGTTTTGTTTTGGCTAAGATTCTTGGAATTCAAGGCAGACAGAGGGAAGAGAATACGCTTTGGTTCAAATCCGTTATATTCCTCATGTGTTTGATGCTGACTTTTTGTTGTCGGTTGCGTTTTGAATCCATTGAAAGTCTGTCGGGAGACATTTGTACGCAAACCTGAGTACTCTGAAATTTTTAAAAGTCGGCTCTTGTAATTCCCAGGAAGGCAATTATTATGCCTATGTAATGTAAGACATAATTTGCGGTTACTTCATGATCCTAGAGTGTACCGCCCCCCAAATCATTAGCCGTCCGACCGTGACGGGTACATAAAAATTAATGTTATGTTGGATAAAGGCGTCTTGCCAGGAAAACTCAGATCTATTGCGTCGGTAACTCTCTGAAGGCTTTGGAGACAGGATAAATCCATCCAGAAGGCGACCCACGTCGTCGTGTTGAGCCAGACCAGTAAGCTAGCTGTGGTCCTACGGCTCTGTAGGCTTGTAGGCTTTCTTTACTGCCAGTTAATTACGCAGCCATTTCTTTTCGGGTCCACATTACGCAGCGTACCAGCGTTATAGCCCCTACTTGAATACCACTTTAATACTGCATCTTTAAAACAAGTCTACGTGTAAGGGAGAGAACGTTTTAGTAATTTGCATGCGGAGTATCGGAACATAACTGCACATACGCCTTGAAACGTGCGACCTGCGAGGTCCAAGATTATTTAGTGTATGCAAAACACCCAGACATAATGTTTGTCTGTGCAAAGATCCTTTAAACGTGCCACACAGAGAGTGGTGTGAATGGGGTAATTGTTGGGATGCCACGGAGGAAAACTCCGTGTTGCCTAGACCACGGCCTTGCCCAACACAAGTTATAAATTCGGGCACCGCCGGGAATCGAACCCGAGACCCCGGGATTACAAGGCCAGCGTTCTAACCTCTAAACCACCGTGGCCATATGTGTAAATAAATAGAAAATTAGATTTTACAACTTTTTTCCAGCCTGACCCCTGTATATGGCTTTATTTTGTAACGTGTGACCCGTATTATTTTTAGGTACTTCCCAACTTTATTCATACACGCTATTTCATTTTGACAAATACAGTGTACACGCACGTATTAAGTTGTGGTGTTAGCCTTTTTGATGCACTTTTTTGACTTTAGTCAGTGATCCTCTCCTCTAACGACTTGACTTAATATGAACAGTCAGTACTGGTATAAGTGTTATTAGTGTTGTCAATCTCTCAGGCTTGGCTTTTGATCTCTTTATATTTTACCTAATAATATAGATGCTAAATAAAATTCTTAATTGACACATCTGCGTTAAATAACATGTCTTTCAACTAATGATGGGAGTATTTTAAACCTTCGGGACTTAGCAAATTAAACTTTTAAAATTCTTAACAGAAGAGTGCCTTAGAAATATGTAAATATAACTATTTTGTCTACTGGAACAGAAGTGGGAGAGTATTTCATAGTGAAGTGTTAAATATACATCTAATGGGAGTTCTTGGTTTAACCTGATAGTCAGCGAGGCACCAGACTGTTTTCAGGCGATACAGATGTTGTTCACTGAGATTTTTCGTGGTTTCCTCAATCCCTCTGTGCGAAAGTTCAACATTGCTTTCATATATTCCAAATTCTTTCAGCTTCACCGTGGATGATGTGATGTGTGACGTGCTGTAGTTCTCAGTGAGATTAGCAAGTGATAGGCCTACCGATAGCAGCTGACATATTCTAGCCGCGTTCCAGTCTGTAGTCTATCCTGTTATTTTCATTTGCATATACGTGTCCCAATACAAAATAGATACGCTGGCAGGGGGAATTTTAATTCTGTTTTTTTTTTAACTTTTTCAGCCTGAAGCAGGGTTGTTTTGTTCTGTGGTTGAATGGGAGATAACTCTAGAACACGTTATCCGATATGGTAAGAAACTTCGGATTTTGTTTCTGTAAACATCGTTATCATGTTTCGATAAAGATAAAGAAACGTGTTGTATAATGGGAGAGGGCCAACTCAGATTTAGAACAGCATGCTGGCAAAATGCGTTCTTTATGCCAATTTACAATTTTTGTCGATAATACTCGATTCGAATGTTGATTGCAAGAACCTGGCAGCTGTTACGATTGAGAGTGACCCAGAGTGATTTATCACATTAGCAACTTTGGTGACCCCTAATCAGTCAGTCAGTTGCTTACCGCTGTCAACAGTGCCACGAAGTTAGCGGTGGTCATTTTGAACATTTACGTTAGATTTGCTAATTCACTGAGTGCCAGTGCTGACGTATGTAATGGTTTTGCTTGTTAAATGAACTTGTGTTTACATCTTTCTGGAACAGCCTGTATGTCATGACTTTTTCTGCACAAATCACTGCAGTTTCTTCAGTGACAGGAAAATTCTACCGGATTAAACGCTTATCACTTGTAGTTACAAAGTCATAAAATGGCCGCATGATAAAGTTGTCTGTGTAAAATCAAACAACCTGTGATCCATCCAACAAGTTTCATACTCTCGTACAGGCTGAATTCGTTGATATTCTGAATGAATAATCATAAGTAATGGTATGATTACTCGATGTACATCATTTTTGTTAATAATCTAAATGAAAGGGAATATAGAATGAGAACTAATGTGTCATTTTTTCGTGTTTGTGCGAGCGTGAGATGGAATATTTTATTACAGTGAAAGTGTCACTATATGATGCAAAGACACGTATTTCAAAGGCTTGTATCCTAGAGCCGGTTAAGATCATTGAATTTCTGGTGGGCTTCCTCCGTTATTTCAGGCAACTAAATATTTACACTAGCTTCATCTACCCTTCGTATAATAAAATTGTGATATCACCTGTAGGTACCTAACGCCTTGCTACCGGAGCCCAGAAACTGTGGCCTGAAGAAGTAAGTGGAAAGTTGTTTGTGAACTGGGATGTTGCACTGCATAGTCTGGTAGAAATGTACCGACGTTTTAGAGAGCGATTCTGAAGATGGAGGCAGTGGGCACCACTGAAACGTCGGTCATTTTCTACCAGACTACACGGCGCAACATCATACTTGTCGCTTTGTGATACTGAAATCTCATATAGTATTATATTTGGCTGTTGCTGAAATTTGATAGGTGGTTAATTAGTGCGTAAATAATTTTCGACGCTTTATTGTCTAAATAATTACATGGTTTAGAGTCATTTTTGACAAGTTTACAGTTTTAAGCTCGTCAAGAAATTCGCCAGTGTTTGCCGAACCCGATAATTTGTTACCGTTTTCGAAAGACACTGGCATTGGTCCTTGTTCAGGCTGAGTTCAGTCAATTCCACGCCGTTTCTTTAACACAATTTTATTATGATTTCCCCATCTGTACCTTCTCATACTTATTGAGGTTTTCCGGCTGAAGGTTCGTATGCATTTCTCATCCTATCCATTCGTGCTACACGTCCTTCCCA